GTTATTATTTTTTTTTTTCTCAACATTCAAACCAGAAAATATATTAAGCTCACAAAGATTGTTTGTTTTACATCAACGACACATAAATAGATCTGGGTCTGTAAAGGCAAGAAAAAAAAAACCAAAACAAAACAGCCATACACCTTTACAATTGACATGGGAAACAAGTTTATAAATTTCCTTGCATAGCCATCTTGGCTAAACAAGCAAAAATTATAAAAATATCCTTATAAAAAATAACACTACAAGAATGAACAGACGAGCACAAATACTTGCATTCAACCATAGCTGCAGCTCTCATATCCAATGATTCCAAATTCCCACAGCACCAGATGACAACTTACCTGTTTGTCCATTTGGCAGGTCACATTTTTTTTCCATTTATTATTGGCTGCATATTTGAGTAACCAAAGAGCAGACACAGTATAGGCCTCCACTGAACTTCCAATGAAGTCCCATACCTGAAAGTCCAAATCCTCAAACCTAACCTACTGTGTTTGCATGAACCCCTTTCATTATCATCACTCTTCTCACCTGACCTCTCACTCATCCCCAGCCGCCTAACATATAACCTTGGTACTTCAACATTTCTCACATAAGTACACATAATCCACTCATCTATAGCCCTTTTAAATAATTCTGTTTCCAGCACTTAACAGCCCTAAACTGAAGTAAGATATGATCAATATTTTTCTCACACTCCCAAAGACCTCACATACTATATCAAATTCAATTCGTCTCTTTTTCAGTTGTACCCTAGTCCCCACAATCTCATGGCAACATTTCCCGATTGAGGCATTACATCAAACACGTAATGTGCTTTTAAGAATACAACAAAACCAACATATCACTAATCAATCGCTAGTTAACAAATCTATATCCTCACATCAAATCATTATTCGTAACAATCAAATACAATAAAAGGATACGAAGCCCAAGCAAAAAATTTCACCAAAACAACATATGTTAATAACACCACTACAAGGGTTTTGTATTATAAGCATGCCAAGAATATCCAAACATATTTCACTCTCAAAATAAAGTTACCTCAATGAATCGTGCGTGCGATTACAATCTCTACATACAAAATTCTATCGACAAGTTACATATTGATCGTAAATCGTTCGAATATATGTTTGGGTAATAATACTGTTCTGATATTGACTCATGAGGAGAGGATGAAGGAGTTGGTCGGTTTGGTATGTAGAAGAACAACGAGGAAGAAGATGAAGTGGAAGATTGGTTTTGTCCATTTTTTTTCCCAAATGAAGACGACGGATTGGAATCTTAAAATATAATTTTAGGTTGTGATGAAATTGTTTTAAATTTGTAGGATTGTTATGTAATTTACAAAAGTATATGGGAGCTTGAGAATAAATAAAATAGGTACAAGGGGTACGAAGGGTATAATAGGATTTTACAAGTACGAGGGGTACGAGAGAGAGTGCAAGACTACCAAAATTCTTTTATCCCTTGTACCCTTCAATCCATCGTTCATTGTCATATCTTAGTCAATCCAACGGTGAAATGGGGGGTTACCTGATGTTAGATAGGTACAACCATGACCTGACTGTAGAAGATCCCAACTCTGTTACATATATACTTTTCTCAAGCTGTTAAATTATTTTTTTACATCATTACACATTAAATAAAAGTAGGTACTCTAAAACAATTAGGCATAAGTATCTTTTAAATTTTTTATTATATACAAGTTACCTTCAACTTTGTTATTATTCTTTACCAAGATTTATAGTTCTGTTAATATTATAGATAGGTAAATAAATAGTTAAAAATATTCGAATTCTTTATACGTATTTATTATGCAATTTTTGTTGGATAAATGTTCTTCAAAGAACTTTTGTATATTAGAATTATTAAACATAATTACAATTTTACCATCAACATTATATTAAAAATAATAACGTTTTTCAACACAACAACTCTATATCTTTTCAAAGTTTTGTATTCATATTTTAGGTATTTTTTATTCTTACAAAATCACTCGTAATTTTTAAGTAGTATTTTTTATTTCTTTTTTTTCTTTTAAGAATTAAGGAGAATCAATTGCCGATACCCCTAATTGATTGATTAACTAGTACAATCGCAAGACCGAGTAATTTATGAGTCCCTAATTAATAAAAATAAAAAAAATTCTATTAACTTTTTTTTTTAATATTTATTACAAAATTGCATTATTATTTTGATTTAAATTTATATACGTAGACTCACTCGTCCTTATTATAAAGCATTTTTATATCCATAAAATATAATTTATTTAATAAAGAAATTTATTTAATTAACAATTAGCAATTTAAACAGTTTCCACAAAACTAAAATCCGTAGGGGTCGAGGAATTGGTAAAAGTCTTAACACAAAACATAAAAAAGAAAAAGAAGACAACTATATATTTACATCAGTCTTGACAATCAAGACTGAAGATACATGACAGCATCCGCCGTGCGACGGAATTGGCGAGCTTCGTCTTCTTCTTGTCCGAGCTTTTCTTTCGAAGCTTGGAAAGGCCCTTCAACTTCATACAACAATTAGGATTATGATGATTATCCTCTTCTCTTGAGAAAGTGTAGCTTCTGAGGTGCGCCTGTCTCCATGAAAGAGCCTTGTTGGCCACCCCATCTCCGCCGGAGATTACCACCTTCTTCACGAACTCAACATCAGATTCCGGCCACTTGTACGTCGCTCTTGCCCGATTCTCCATCTCTTGCTGGAAATACAGTTAAATATGTTCAGATAATTGAGAAAGGAAATTGCACTTCTTTGGTGACATATATAAAGGTGATATGTATATTATATTTTTTATATATATATAGTACTTTATTGTTCGTTCTCCGAAACCTGCCATGAAATTCAGTTTTCCTTCTCCCTTGTGTATTAGGATAGATGAATAATAATAATAATAATAATAATAATAATAATAATAATAATAATAATAATAATAGCAATTAACCTTCTGAGCGAGAATTTTGTTATATTGACAGCTTTTTCGTACTTTTCATATATAATTTAGTTATTATACACTATCTTTTATTTAGCTAGGAAATTATTAATTATCTTAGGAAATTTATAGTAACTAACGCAACATAATCCAACACAATCTATACTTATATTAAAAGTCATTCTATTTACCAAAAATAGTAGCAAGAAAAGTCAACTCACATTTAATGCATACTTTATTTGGAAATTTTTTACTATATGCATTAATTGTTTGCATATACACATTTCCTATTCAAATATGATCAAAAAGATTCTTTCCTTAAATAATTTTATTAACTTCTGCAATAATTTTACTTATATATATTATAATTCATATTTGACGATAGTATTTTTTAATTTTTATTTGAGTATATGAAAAACAAATATTTTTTGTTAAGTTAATATTTTATTTATCATTTAAGAGATAATGATCACATCATTAAATGATATTACTGATGGCTAGATAATAAATTAAAATACATTAATTATTCTTTAAAATTTTGGCATGTTATTTATTTGTATATCTATACTTATTATATAAGGTATCATTTTTACCAAATTTAGTAGATTGAAAAGTCAACGTAATTAATGCATTGCTATTTCTCTCCAGAATTTTATTTAATTATTTTATTTATTTATCTTATATCCCATAAAATTAGTTTAAGAAAAAAAAAATCTCATAACATCTGACAAGTAAAAAAAAGACGTAAAATTTTTACTAAAATAAAAAGACTTTTTTTATTTGTCTTATTCCATTTAACATCGACTTTGTCAAAACAAATTCCATAAAATCAGTGAAGTCAAAATTTGTACGTAAAGTCTATCTATACCTAAAAAAAGTCAGATTCAAAATTCTTTATCTAATTCCTTCTTTTTTTCTTATCTAATTCCTTATTTTCCTTATCCAATTCTTTTTTATTATCTAATTGTATGAAAATCTATTCTGATTTTGTTCAATCCTCTAATTGTATTTGTATTATATTCCATAAAATCGATTTAACAAAAAGAATCCCATAACATCCGATAAGTAAAAAAAACAATGTACGTAAAATCTTTACTAAAATAAAAAAGGCTTTATTTATTATCTAATTAATTATATAATTATATGGAAATATATTATGATTTTATGGTACGTACTACAAATTGTGCACCCGTGTTCAGAAGCTACTTAAAGGGCAAGCTCTGTGGAAATGACTCATTTAGTGCTTCTGTCCCGTGCATACGGTATGTATTTTTATTACACATACTAGAAAATTGTGCACCCCGTGCATCGCACGGGCTCTGTACTAATAAATGACATTAAAATTGTGCACCCCGTGCATCACCCGTGTTCATATTTTGGCCTATTACAAGTCACCTACTATATATATCCCGTACATTTTTTTTAATTCATTTATATAATTATAAGACTCAATAAATGACCTTAAAATTGTACACTCCATGCATCGCACGGGCTCTGTACTAGTAATTATAATACGAAACACAATACAACATGAAATGACAATTTTAGTTAAAATTTAATTATACTCATCATAATTAAGTTTATTTACGATTAAATAAGATAAATA